GTGTGTATCTCGAAGATCGGCCGTAGGGTGAGGTATATTAACGACGGTTTAGGTGGTGTACATAGCCCAGGGTGTACAGTAGGTGTTGACGGTGGTGGCGAGGGTCTGGTATAGATTAAAAAGGTGGTGTAGTTTCGACTTCTTTCAGCCGGAATAACGAAAAAGGGCCGCTTTTTTTCTCTCTCTCTTTTATTTGGTGGTGTGCGTAGTAGAAGGAGAAGGGTTTGGGGTTTGTACGCTGCTGTTGTACACTTATTCGACTGTATCATGATCAGTGTTTTCAGGTTTTTTTTATTTCCATTCTCCTTCTTCTCTTTCTTATTTTTTTTCTCTCTCTCGACGAAGAGGAAGAGAAAGAGAGAGAAGTCACCTATCATCAAGAAGGTTCCTCTGCTGTGACGTCAAAGCTAAGTGATGACCAGACGGTGTTTTTTATGTGTGTGTGTGCGTGTGTGTGTGTTTGGCTGTATGTGAGGTAGGTAGGTGATGCTGGGGTGGGGGTGGGGGGGTGTAGAAGGTTCCGGGGGAAGGGGAGAAGAGGGGGGGGGGATTTTTTTTTAAGTGGAAGAGATATGATGATTGTTATTGGAGATATGATGATACCTAGAGGAGGAAGATCTGTCAGGAAGAGAGAGGGAAAGTAATAGATGAAGATAGACCTTGTGTATCTGTGTGAAAGTATATGTATATGTAAATGTGTGTGTGTCTTGCTTTTATGTATGTATGTGTATGTGTACATATTTTAGTAATAGGTATGCTCGACAAGAAAAATAAATAAATAAACAAAGTTAAACTCGAAGGGAGAAACAGAAAAAAAAAACATCGGATGTTTACGAGGCACTGACCAAGAAATGCGTTTTTTTTTTCTGTGACGTTTTCCTGTATTTCAATCCATTTCCTGTTTTGAAGGAGAAAATACCAAGGAACACGCACATCTTCCCGCAGTTTAGTTTAGCTTTGCAACATATTGACTCTTGGACTTATTTCATCTTAGCGGGGGTTTCAAAACAGATAGGGAAGGAGAGATAGAGAGAGAAAAGGCGGGGGAGAAAGGAGAAAAACGGGCGAGAAGGAGAGATGAGGAGGAAAAGCGGGGGGGGGGGGGGGGGGGGGGGGGCATAGGGTGATAGGAAGGAAACGGAAAAAAAGAGAGAGTTAGAGAGAGAGAGAGGGAGGGAGGGAATCAGAGAGAGAGAGAGACAGACAGACCAACATACAGACAGATAGAAACAGAGAGAGAGGGTGGGTGAGATGAAGCAAGGGAGGGAGAGAGAGAGAGAGAGGGATGCTCTCTTGAGAGGAGACAAGAAAACAAAGGACTTAAAAAAAAAAAAGAAAACTTGGGAACTCCCCAGACTCCCCGGCGATTCTGGGAAAGTGCCCTCGCGTTACTGAATTTAGAGAGCCCGAAAGCGTAGAGTTGTGACGTTCAGCCGATTATATTCTCCGGCGATGAGTGTCTCGCATCAGGTGGGAAGGGATGCGAGAGATAAGACGTTTTTCTTTCTTTCTCTTGAGGAGTAAGAAGGATACGTGCTTCCCTTGGGTGTACGCTCGCACGAACACGCACATGCACACACGCACACACACACACACACACACACACGCGCGCACACACAAATGCACAAACAAACCACGCGAAACGATCTTTTTGGGACGGTATTTTAATGAATGAAAATGCGTTCAAGTAAACTCATTATGATTTTTTTTTTTTTACTACCTCCCAGCATGTGTTTCTCCTCCTCCTCCCCACCCCCACCCCCAGGCCCTTTCCCTCTCCTTCCTTCTCCCTCTTCCTCTCCCTCTCCCTCTCCCTCAGGACTTCCCCTCTCCCATTCCCCTCCCCTTGGGCCTTTCCCTCTCCCTCCCCTTCACTTCGCCCTCCACTTTCCCCTCTCTCAGACTCTTCCCCCCCCCTCTCCCATGCCCCCCCCCTCCCCCCAGGGCTCAACAACCGCAAGGAGCATCGCCACGTGAGGAGCGCTTTGTTGTCGTCGCAGTTAATGGCGATATTTATGGCGGGTGAGAGTGCAACCCCGACGGGGGGGGGGGGAAGCTTTTATTCATTTTATTAGAATTATATTTTTTTATTGTGGAGGACTTCACTGTATGTGTTGTATGTATGAAAACGCGCGTACGTGTATGCGCGTATGTATCTTTACCTATATACATGCAGTCATGTATATAGACAGAGATAAGTATGAATATATTCTTTATGTTTATATGTTTACACATATATATAGAGAGAGATAGATAGATTGATAGATAGATATACATAGATAGATAGATAGATAGATATATGTCTATATTGATGCATAGATATAGAAAGATGTCCCTATATACACACACAGAAACACACACACACACACACACACATTATATATATATATATATATATATATATATATATATATATATATATAGAGAGAGAGAGAGAGAGAGAGAGAGAGAGAGAGAGAGAGAGAGAGAGAGAGAGAGAGAGAGAAGGGGGGAAGAGGAGAGGTAGGAAGAGAGAGGGAGAGTAAGGGAGCGACGTATATATATAGATGTTTAGATAAATAGGCAGATGTGTACATACAGACATACATAAATGTATGTTTATCATATGTACACAGTATATATATATATACATATTTACCATGTACACATATGCAATATGCATATATGTATACATATACATAAGGAGATAGATATACATATATACACATGCGCGATGCGAAAGTTTATATGCCCTTTATGAAGTGGATCAACATATGCCTTATTGAATAAATACAAAAGTTTGTTCTCTCAACCACCGAGCAGCGTGGGTCGGCGTGTATATATAGGTATGACAAACCAATACGTGTCCTCCCACTCTGGGGGATTCTTGTATGAAAAGCATAACGCCTGATTGTACCCGCGTTGCAGCCACCGCTCGATGAGAGCCGCCGTAATGAGGGCACTCCGCTGGCTCGAAATAGGGAAAGAACTAGGTAAAATCATCTAATTATAGCGCCGTCCTCTCTCCCGCCAACTTGTGACCCGTAAAAGGTGCGGCTGGTGAGGGGACCGCGCTGCCAGACGCACAAGTATGAAGAAAAATAGTCTAATATTAAGCCCAAGGGAGAGAGATGAAGGGAGGAGGGGGGGGGGTGCATCATCACCAACGTTCCATTTCGTTTTGTTGGCGAATGTTTTTTTTTTTTTTTTCTTTGTTGGAGGAGACAGAACTAATGGGGGAGCTTTCGTGTCATTTCGTCTCGATGTTCGAAATTCAAAGGATTTTAATGGTACATAAGACGCTACTTAGAGCTGTCATTAGGATGGAATTTCCTGAGCACATGTCGCAAAATACATTATAGATCCAATTAAATCAGAATTCGAAGGAAATAACATGCCATATGTCATCTTAAGAAAATCCCCAACGAAAGACAGATATAAATACCACTCGCACCGCGCCGATCACCAAGGCGTGAACGACATCCAGCACATTTCAACAGCTCTGGAAACAGGCACGACGGCCGGTAACCTTTCTGGACTTGAACTTTCGCTTCAAAGGGACTGACAGATATGACGAGAGAGGGGGGAGGGAGGGAGAGAAGGAGAGAGGGGAGAGGGAGAAAGGGAGGGAGGTAGATGGTAGACAGGGAGAGAAAGACAGACAGAAAGAGAGAAAGAGAGAGAGAGAGAGAGAGAGAGAGAGAGAGAGAGAGAGAGAGAGAGAGGGAGAGAGAGAGAGAGCACGAGAGGGAAACAAGGCTAGCCGGGAGACTTTTAAGAAGGCCAGTTTTCGTTGACATTTGGGGAAGTAGGTTCGCTGTGAGGAAAACGCCTCCCGCGCTCACGCCTCCGCGAGGTTGCGACACCGCGGACACAAGAGGCCCGTCATGCTTATTGTTTCCCCCGTTGCACTCGCCCGTGTCTGTCGGTCTGCCTGTCGGTCGGTCGAGGGAGAGAGGGAGGGAGGAGAGGGAGGGAGGGAGGGAGGGAGGGAGGGAGGAAGAGAGGAAGAGAGGGAAGGGAGGGAGGGGGGATCACGAGCCCCGCCCAGCTGGCTAGGTATTTTGTCCGTTGAGAGATGAGGCGCCTTGTTTACCTTCCCTCTTCTATCCAAAAGGTGGATCTTGAGCGCAGGGAATGTTGTTCCGGATCTCGCGGGAGGAGGGCTGTTGCTGCGACGCCAGGGGGGGGGGGGGGAGAGATTCTTCACGAGAAAAGAAGTGCAATTCGTTGTCCGGGATGACGCAGCTGAGAACTCGCCTCTCGCCTTTCGTAATAAACTCGTGACGGTGAGAAGGGCATTCGAGCGTCACAGGTCAGAGAGAGAGGGAGGGAGGGAGGGAGGGAGGGAGGGAGGGAGGGAAGGAAGAGAGAGAGGGAGGGGGGGAGGGAGGGAAGGAGGGAGAGAGAGAGAGAGAGAGAGAGAGAGAGAGAGAGAGAGAGAGAGAGAGAGAGAGAGAGAGAGAGAGAGAGAGAAAAGCGAGAGAGAGGGAGGGAAGAGAGAGAGAAGAGAGAGAGAGACGGAAGAAGGAAAAAAGAGAGAGAGAGAAAGAAACAAGCAAGAGCGGAGACCAAAAAGGAAAGAGAGTAAGAGAAAGAAAGAAAACGAAAGAAAAAAAAAATCATCCCCTTGTAAGTACCGCCAGTATAGAAACGTCTAGTTTGTGGGTGAATTCCCAGGCGTGGCATAACAGCGGCGAGAGGCGAGGCTGCCTGACCTTGGGAGGGTAATCTCGCAGTCTCGGCTCCTGCGATGGCCTGGCCCACTTTCAGGTGCAGGAGAGTTACAAGCTTGTATAGAGAAGGACTGTTAGCTCGCGACGCCGGTGCTCGGTCGCTCCTTTCAAGACGGGGCTCTCAGGCTCGGGATTCGGGTCAGCTGTTTTTTCCTTTTTTTCTTCTTCTCGTTTCTTCTTCTTCTTCTTTCCTACGTTCTTCTGATTGCGGGGAAGCGTGCTGGTGATTAGGTTTCTTAATTAGGACAGTATGTTTGGTTTTATTTCAGACGTATCGTGTATATT